GGGGGGGGGGGGGGGGGGGGGGGAGGGTAGGGCAAGACAGAGGATTGGGCCCAGGACTGGTTTCAGCCCATCTCTAGTCAGGACAACAGCCTTGTCCGCATGGGCACCCAGGGGGCCTGTACTTAGCGCGTCTCACTGCAGCGTACTGGGAAAGCTGGAGCCGGCACTCATTAGCTGCACAGCAATGGGCAATCTGCACTGACACCTCCCACTGCTGACTATACGGGGACAAGGCCACAGCGACAACACGGTCATCTAGGAACAGCTAGTGTGAGCCCTCATGGCTATGGGATTTTGAAAGAAAAGATACACCTCACCCCCGACACACACACTCTCAGTCACTCTCTCTACCCTGTCCCACCTCACCCCACCCACTCCAGTCCCAGCCATCCCCCTGTACAAGCTGGGACCGAGCCTACTCAGTGACCAGGGTTCCTCAGAGATGTAACGAGACAAAGCACCTTCATGAGGTTCCATTGCCACCCCAACAAAAGGGCTACCTCCCCCCACACAGCAGATGCTGCCCAGATGGCTGTGGGGACATGGGGATATGCTGTCCCTGGTTAGTGTGGATGCCCATGGTTAGCTGGCACCCCACACACTGGGTCAGAGTCACCAAATTCATTGTATAATCGGTGCTAAATGGAGCTGGTGACGGCTGCGTTCCTCTTGAAACAGAAAGGTACGCCCCTCCCTGCCCCCCTACTCCCCGCTCCCACCTCCCTGAGAACATGGGCAACAGTAAGTGATGCTCCATCTTGCTGTGGGACTTGTACCAGATCTAGTGTGGGGAGTATTCTGAGCCTGAGGAATTAGCTGCTAGTCCTAATGGCCCAGCCAATCCAGGTAACCCAGGGCAGGGATCTAGGCTCCTAATGAAAGCAGCCACTCCAGTCTGCTCAGCATTGCTACCTTGTTGGGGATTCCCTCTGCTACATGGTAGTGCTGACAGACCACTCCAGCTACATCCAACCACCCAGCTGTCCTCACACTGAATTTAGTCTCCATGGGACACATCTCCCTGTTCAAGAAGAGGTAGCTGTGGGCCATGTTTGTTAACTCTGTGGAGGCCACTTCCCTCCTGGGTGATGTTGTAGGGGCTTGTCCACTGGGATAAAAACCAGGGAGGGAAGAAAAGCAAATAGAAAAAAAGCAAACGACCTTCAATTGGCCCGAGTAGAGTGGGCAGCACTGGAGATTAGACATCTCATTCCCTTCCCAGAGAGAGCAAGAGAGAGCAGAGCAGGTATTTAAAATGGATTAGCAGAAATGAATTAAATTGCTAAATTAATCTGGAATTACATGATAACCCTACTGATGCCATTAGAATACATCATGATTAGCATCAGTGCAATTAACTCCCAAGTATCTAATAGCATTCTGCCCCTCTTTTTGGTGTCTAATTAATTTATGTCCCATTCTTTTAAAGCTTTTCCCATAATATATGAATGGTAAACCTACCGACCCTTCCAATTCCTGCAATGCCTCTGGCACTGGTACTGTATAAAGATGCTACATGAGTGCTAACCATGTTCCAGATGATGGCTACTGTCATTTGGAACATGGGTCAGTAGCTTTTATGGGACACAGAGTTACTCCTGAATGCAGAAGATTAGAACAAAGGGATATCCACTGCATTAAGGGCTCATACAGACATGCCTTCCAGGCTGCCATAAGTCATCGGACACAGCATCTGCAGCTAGTGTGCAGTCTGATTTCAGTGCCTTCCTCCCTCATTCTGGCCAGTCAATCCAAAAGGAACTGCTGGGAAGTTCTGCAGAAGACATCTTCACTGAGCACTGCCCATGAGCCACAGCTGCTGCACCTCCCTGCTGCATGCAGGCAAAGGTAATGTCAGAGTAACAGCCTGACCCCAGCTCTTTGCACATCTCCAGCACTTTTCTCCAGAGGAGCTCAAAATGCTTCCTGAGCAATGAAGGTGCCAATCCCCTTGCCAACCAGGGAGAGGGAGCAGCAGGGCCAGAGTAGAATTTAGCTCATTTTCTAGCTGAACAGAGAACACTGAGAGCTGTAGCCACAAACTGGTGCAGGTGTAACACCGACAGACCCTGGTCATCGGCGGGTGGGATTGAACCCGGGGCCTCAAGAGCTTAGTGCATGAACCTCTACCACATGAGCTAAAAGCCAATTGCCTCTTAGCTAAGGCTGTAGAGTAGACTTATTTTATCTCTCTCTCTTTAAGTGATCTCGGTGCCACTAGATAGAACAGAACACACACACACACACACACACCGAGGTGTGTGGGTTACACAGGCTCTGCTTCATTTGT